CCCGGAGGCTACGGAGCGGTGGCGCGGCTGTCTAGGAAACCGCGGCCTCCGCGGGTCCGACCGGCGGCGAGAGCCGGGCAGGGGGCGGAGGCTGGGCCGCCAGCAGGGCTCGAACGCAGCGTGCCGGCGCCGTGGCGTGGGTGAGGGGGTCGCACGGCCGAGTTGGGGGGCCCGCATGTGCGCGTGTGGAGAGGAGGGGGTCGCGAAGGGAAGGTCTGAGGTGGAGGCGGGCTGGGCGCGCCGGGGAAGCAACAAGTGCGGAGGCTGACCGGGCCCCGCCCGGGGAACTTCGTACAATCGAGCAAAGAAGCCTCCTCAGGCTTTGGTGCAGCGCTTTGCAGTTTCCAGAGCTGTTGCCAGTTTTTCGTTAAATCCGCACATGGCACCCTGTGAGGGAGCGAACGGCAGGCGTTGCCCTCTACGTTTTGAGGCCATCCAGGAGGGAAAGACTCAGAGACCACTGACCCTCCATGGGCTGTTTTGGGAGAAAAAGGCCTATCAGGACCTTCATTTGATAGTCTCAGCCCAGGACCCTTGTAGGACAGTGTGTCTCAACCTTTTTCCCCCCCTTTCCATTATCGCCCTCTTAAATCTTTTTAGACATTTTGCTCACGAATCACTGCCCTCCCCCCATGAAATTCAAGTATCACTGATAAACTATTGCAGTTTAGCTGTTTAGGTGTAGCTGTGCTCTTTTACATATATAAGATTTCGCCCCTTGGAGATGATATCGACCTCGTTGAGAGTGTGTTGTAGGACTATGTTTCTGGGTTAGCAGGTGGGGTAAGTGGAGTAGGTGAGGATTCTGGATGCGCCCACAAATATTCTCTGTAGAAGAGTCCTCACATGTATGTATGTACAACTCTAATGTCTCCAAGTACTGCCCTGAGTAGTGGAACACGGTCACTAAGGCAGCTTCTGAACTCAAAGCTTTTATTTTTAGTCTCCATCAGTTCATGCTAAAAATATAGCCATGGGGTCCTGACATTTTTGTTAAAATACTTGAAAAGTTTGGAAACCCTCCTTTCTAGAACACATACTCCAGTGTAGCCTTTGGCTCTGCAGACAACCTTGATTTCCAGTTCTCCTACCTCTTCTGAAGGCATTTTGTTTTTCTTTAGGCCCATTTGGCCTCTCAGGAATGTTTCTGTCATTCTTGCCTCCTTCTGCCCTTCTGCTTTGCTAGCTAAAAGATGGAAATTGTGAAATTGAAAGACTTCAAAACCTAGGTCATGAAATTGCCCCTGAGCCTGGATCATGCTTTTCTCAGACCAAGGAATATCTAGGTAGGGAGTATCTAATTTGGCAAGCTGGGAATAGGTCAAGTTTCTTCAGGTCATCCCTCAGATTTCAGTGCTGCTTATACTAATCGTGGAATTTCAGAGGGAAAAAAGCCCTTGGTAGTGATATTTGTAGAGGCTACCTGGGTTGCCAGAGGATTTTTCTTTTACATTTCCAGAAGGAAGAAATGTGGACTGGAGGGGAGAAAGTAGGGATGGGTCAAGAAAATTTGGGAGTATGGATAACATGGAGGTGAGTGGACTATAGTTTGCTGACAAGTGGTGGCAGCATTTCGATTATACTTGAAAAAAAATAAGCCTTCGCATGGTTGGCTCACATTGTTATCCACTGCATTTTTTCCCCACTTAGAGAACTCTAAAGATTTGATAACACCATTGAAAAGCACCCAGTTACAATGCTAGTTAAAAGAGTAGGACAAGTGTTTTGAAACTTACAGACGAAATGGAAGATCACTTTGGTTTACCTGGAGTCTTTGTAGTCCAATACAATTTTTGGTTCCAGGTGCAATGCTACTTCAAGGGAAATTTTTGTTTACAATGGCTGCTGTAAAGACAGCCAGCGAGGGAAAAAAACTATGTAGAAATTATGTGCTAACATCTTTTACCTGTATCTTCTAAGTGTGCTACCCCAACCTCCTTTTTTGGTAGTCTGAGTTCATGGAAAATGTAGGTGCAACCATTTTATGTGGTGAAGTAAAAACAACAACAAAAAAAAAACCCACTCCGGACACGTATAATTTGTCAGCTCTATGCTGCTCCCTGGTGGTATCCTACTTCACAGCGCATACTCAAAATCTTCCCTCTCTTAGGTAAATTTTGGTATTGAAAACAGAGGTAGATAGACAGAGTGGCATTAGGCTTTCTCCAAACAGGTCCTGCTCTTGTGTTCAAATACCCCTAACACCCAGAGGACTAGCCCTTGAGGCTGATCAGTTTAGAGGAACTGTGAAGAGCTCTGGCAGGCCTCTTTAGCTTGTTCTTAGACTTGCCTGTAAGAATCACTTGGGGACTCTTGTTTAAAATCAGATTCTGGGGGGCGCCTGGGTGGCTCAGTCGTTAAGCGTCTGCCTTTGGCTCAGGTCATGATCCCAGGGTCCTGGGATCGAGCCCTACATCGGGCTCCCTGCTCCGCGGGAAGCCTGCTTCTCCCTCTCCCACCCCCCCTGCTTGTGTTCCTTCTCTTGCTGTCTCTCTGTCAAATAAATAAATAAAATCTTAAAAAATTAAAGAATAAAATAAAATCAGATTCTGCGGCCTTATCTCAAACATATTAAAATCTAATCTACAGAAGAGTGGCATGTGATTTTTATTTTCAACTGCCCCAGGGGATTCTTATCAATAGGAGAGGTTGGGGAATACTAGAGCTATAAACAGAACAGGTGCTGCTTCAGAAGACCAGGTGACTAACCAGAGGGAATTTTGTGGGTGAGGGAGTTCCACAGTACTAGTAAAATAGGAGCTATAAAGAAGGAGTAGAAGAAATTAACTGGGAAATTAACACTCTCTTGCCAGATACACCTGCTTCTAATGTGGCTGTAATTGGCATGATATCCCATACCAAAATGTCTTTGGAGGTAAGTCAGATTATTTTTTTATTTTTAGTGAGCTCTATACCCAATGTGGGATTTGAACTCCTGACCCCAAGATCAAGAGTCGTATGCTGTACCAACTGAGGCAGCCAGGCACCCCAGATTTTCTTTAAGTTAAAAAGACTGTCTTTTCAAGAGTAGCAGAATCACATAATCAGAAAATTTGTGCGTGTATGTAGCTACAGTATTATGAGAGGGCAGATTAGAGATTATGTTGATCTTGTGAATGTCTGAAAAAGATTGATATCAGAGTTAAAATTTGTTCTCTTGAGGTAGTTGCTTGTAAAAATAGAACATGAATGTGACACCACATGATTTGTGAAATTTAATACCAGGAGATCTTAAATTGTTAATGTTTATGTATCTGTTAATATTTTAAAACCTTTTCTAAATGTTGATTTTTAACACCACCTCATTTACTTAGAACACACAGGGAGAAGGCCAATCTGAGTTAGTGAGAATCCTGAAAAATGGAATACACGTGACTTTGTGTGATACTTATTTAAACACTTAAGTATATACACAATAGGTGCTACCAAAACAGCTTTTAAAAAATCCTGCTGAGGGGCACCTGGATGGCTCAGTCGGTTGAGAGTCCGACTCTTGATTTCAGCTCAGGTTGTGATCTCAGGGTTGTGGGTTCTCTCTCTCTCTAAAATGAATAAATAAAATCTAAAAAAAAAAAAATCCTACTGAAATGGCTTTAATGAATAAATATGATTGACTTTAAGTTAGTCAAGTTCATGTGCATATAGTCTGTGTGGGTAAAACACAAAGCGTACTACCATGCACTCAGTAGGTCCTCAATTAACATTCGTATTAAAAAGGTTTTCTTACAAGTAGATTAAATATACTTAATGCAGCAAACCCATCTTTACAGATAGTACTTCAATGGCAGATTTTACCTTGAGCAGTGGCATACCAAGAGTGGAACAATAAGAGCATCAACTTAGGTGTAGGCAATAATAATTCTCATTGTCCTTAGAAAATTTAAACTGTAATAAACCCACTCAAAGTCTCTCTGCTTTTTACTACTGGTAATTTTTATGTATCAAATTCTAAGCAGTCTTGGTGATTAAAAAAAAAAAAATCTTTCAGGGTGCCTGGGTGGCTCAGCTGTTAAGCGTCTGCCTTCGGCTCAGATCATGATCCCAGGTTCCTGGGATTGAGCCCCGCATCTGGCTCCCTGCTCAGCGGGAAGCCTGCTTCTTCTCACGCACCTCCTGCTTGTGTTCCCTCTCTCACTGTCTCTTTCTCTGTCAAATAAATAAATAAGATCTTTAAAAAAATCTATCTAAGTTTTGAACAATTTCTGTAGTTATTAAGTTTTAATAATGCATATATAAACTTTAAATTAGCACATTTTAATTATCAAATATATTCGACATGGAAGATAATTCAGAGAACTCCCAGTTATTCAGTTGGCCTTCAGTAAACATAGAGTCATCTATGTGGGTATTTTCCTAAATACATTCATAAAAATTCAGGGTAATTCAGAGTTTTGGGCACAGTTCATGTCCTCCTTAGGTCTATATCTCTCATTTAAATAACTCTTATTAATAAATAGTGGTAGCATGGTGATTGTAAAGATGAAGAAACAGAACCTGATTGCTTCAGTGTTTTTATTCTATGTGACCAGTTAGAGTTTTCATTTGTGTGGAAAATTTAAGAGTGAAACAAAGTGCAAACTTTGAGGTGTAATTTTTCTGGTTGGTAAGTACAAATTTTAGTTTATATGTGAAACTATTCTTTTAAATAACTGAATCAAATATTTTTAACTTTGAAATTTATTCTTTTTGTTAATGTTTACTTCAAAACTAAAGAACAAATAAGAGAATAGGAGGTGTATTGTTTTTATTTAGTACTTCAACAGACCAACATGTAATTTAAGTTTTTCCTTTCCTCAAAAATGTTAATTCCATTACTTTTTTTTGGTACTATAATATTTATCTTATACTGGCATATAGGTAGAGT